TCGCATCCCTCGTTATTTTGCTTACGTAAGTGAAAGCAAGAGATGAGATGCGACGTGCTGTTTTTGCTCTCAGTCTTTCATATATTCTGAAAGTGTACGTCTAACGCATACAAAACGATGCCCTTTCACTTCGTATGTTCGCTGGTATAGTGTGTTACCGTTGTACCTGCAACTAGGGGACATTCATACTAGAAAAACTAGTGAAACTAGCAGCAACTAGCAAGCACTAGCGTATTATAGTCCAAAGCAAATGAATTGAGGCATGTAAAATATATTTTAGCATGCGTAAGTCGCTTGCAAACGAACCAAGTGAATAGCGGAGACGCACGAAAACGAAGTGAGTGAATAGCGACAACGAACGTTGTTATCCGTTGCCGCAATACACTCACTTCGTTATCGTGCGTCTCCGCTATTCACTTGGTTCGTTTACAAGCGACTTAAGCATTACTGTTGTTTCTTTTATGTATCATACGATACGTCTAGGTAATTTCAAAACACTAGAAAAACTAGCAGCTACTAGCAGCACTAGTGTACTCACTAGTAATACTAGTAAGCGATTAGCGAATACGTAAATAAAACTAGCTTACTAGAATTGCTACGAATGTCCCCTAGTATGTCAATATATAATATATCAAATAAATTTGTTCAGAAACAAAATACCTATTATATTTCTCCTAAAATCTACAAATATTCAGAATTCAGTTATTCGAAGAATTCAGTTTGGCGCTAAAAATGTCCTATGCGATATCAAGGATAATCAATTAAGAGACAAGAAGACAATCTCTAACGGTGGAAGGTTGGGTGCAGAAAATTTGAAAAAAGAGGTAATATATTAAAATAATATTTTAGAAAGTACAATTAATTGTTTCAATGTCTTTATTACAGCACACCTTGGATCCAAAATGGGAACGTTATGCTTGTGGAAAGACAAAAGATCAATTGTTTATGACACAGCTGGCGCACATGATCTTGAAGAAAACCGCACTACAGCCAAGATCACTCAACTTTTTTAAGAGTTAAGCTATAAGGTATAATTAAGGTAGTGTAGTTTTTATTATTATAACTAATTTTATGTTGAAATTAATAAGATTTCAATTGTAGTATCAAGAATGCTTAGATGTAAGTCATTTTAATCTGGAAAATGCCAGCGGTCAGTGTCTAAATATCTTAAAAATCCTTTTGAAAAAAACAAGTTTATTTACCTTTTTGTGCAAAAACAGTTAATACAACAAAATATTCAAGACAATTTTTCACAAATTGAATCACTAATAAATCCTTTATTTTAAATAACGTAAGAGTTCTATTTTAAAGAGCACTTTTCAGTTTAAAAATAAGCTATATGTAATTTTTATGATTTCCCGAGAATTAATGTGAAACTATAGTCAACACTTTGTATGACGGTGTTATATTTCAATAAAATCTCAGGAGAAGTATCACATTCATTCTCGGACATATTATGTGCATGAATAGAAAATGTTTTTTAGCGGTTCAGCCTATGAAACGTTTACGGCACATATAAAATCTATATTGTTGAGGCCACTAGGGATTTTGGGGTGGCTTGATTTGGATATGCCATTTGCTTCATACAATTCATATTTTGAATATCCTTTCTTTCGGTTCACAATCCCGTGTGGAAAAAAAGTGACTGACTGACCAAAATCCCCACCAAAAATGCAACAAAATCGTATTATATCTTCTTCCACTTTTACAGCGTGTAACATTGTCAATAAGTGATGCAGAAATAAATGTCAAACCCCAGTAAACAAAAATGTAAAGCTTTCAGTATATTTTAATGTTGAAAAATGTAACGTATTGACCCATTTTTATGGTCATTTTCTTGTAAAATAGAAGGTAGATCATTGGCATATATTTTCAATAAAGAATAAATTCTGAATCATAATGTGAATCTGATCCAACACAAGTTAAGTTTTATTTTGTGTTTTTTTCCAATGATAAATTTCTCACAGAAAAAATAATAAACTAAGTGTATACAAATGGATTTCTCACAGAAATAGAAATCAGATTTTTTAATAATAAGACTTTTTAATAATAATGACTGTTTCACCTGCTTCGTGAGACACCCTGTAGATTCCAACAATATTTCCGATTTATTTCATATTTTCAATTATTATCTATTTTGTTTCAAATAATCTTCAATTCTTTTTTTTTAAATGATAATTGAAAGCATAGGAAACTAGCATCGACCGGTTGTAAACATCAAATTGTGTTAGTTTCACAAATAGCGCATTGATTGTTTACACATTTCTTCCCATAAAGTTCATTTTTCGTTTCTTCTGTCAGTTCGTGCCTATGAAATTTTGCAACAAAACGTAATCAAATTTGCTGTGATATATACTTTCGCGCGAGAGTGAACTGTTTTTGACAGCGACGCAACTTTGACATATTGAGACGTATTAGAAGGAGGTAGTACGAGATCGTTATTCATCTTATTGCATAACTTTTTCTTGTAATTGTGTTTAATTATCGTCAACTTCGATATAACATTTTTAAACGAAATTTTTGCGTTTTTGTGCGAAATGAAATGTGCGAATGAACTTAGCTATAGTCGGTAAGAAATTCGGATGTGAAATTCCACACGCAAAGGTCTTAAATCAAATCTGTAGCACTCCGATGTGGGGCAGGGAATTGCTAGGAGACTTGGGGCGAACGGGCACGAGAAAAATATTAATCCAGGGTCTTTTCCCAATGCTGAAGGAAAAAAATAATGGGTGAAGGACCATACATGGACACTAGGGTTGCCCAAGTGGCACAAACTCTATATTTCTTTGCTCCACGGGGTGGATCCGTTAAATTGGATGAAAAAAATAGGAATAGGGTCATTTTCGGTAAAACCATTGAAATTTATCCACCTGCCCGGGGGCCAGATATGTTGTATGGGGGAAAAGTGAAGGTAATGGTCAATTTTGAAAAATTACGATACGGTATCCAAATTAGTTATGACATTTATTGTGTGTATCACGAGGAGGAAACCACGGATTCTAATATGTGCTAATTTTTTCTAATATTTCTAGTAAAACGCCATATGACATGTACATTTGACATCTTTCTAATATGTTCTAGTTTTTCTAGTATCGAGTAAGCATTCCCACCAATATCGTTATTAGGATCGGAACCTAATAACGTTATTATGATTTTATTAACTTATCATGATAAAGTCATAATAATGTTATTAGGATTACATCCTAATACTTATTATGTTTTATCATAATAT